CTAGAAGACACCTTTCTCCAGATAGATCGTATCAAGTACGTAATTCTCCGTCACATCGAGAATATTCTCAGAGACGACCAGTGTCGCCAATAAGAGTAATGGTATCTGATAATAGAGAAAGACGTGAAATGTCGCCGCTTAGACGTCCGTTTTCACCGATTAATCGAATGTCTCCGCCAAGACGACCAATGCAAGTTTCAGGTCGACCAATGTCACCTATGAGACGGCACATATCGCCGCCAAGACCACAGTTATCTCCACCTAGACGACAAATATCTCCGATGGAATATGACTTATCTGCGAGACAGTTGTCTCCGGAAAGAAGACCTATGTCGCCTATTGTCAGAATGATGTCTCCATCAAGACCAAGAGACTTGATTCCACCACGACATCAGTCTTCTCCCATGAGACACTTTTCGCCACATCAAGCACCACATATACGTAATGCTTCGCCTCCAAGGCGACAGCAATCTCCTCCGAGGCGACAACAATCTCCTCCGAGGCGACAGCAATCTCCTCCAAGGCGACAGTTATCTCCTCCAAGGCGCCAGAGCTCGCCACCAAATAGATTTGCGGATGAATGGGATATACCAAGTCGGGGTGCTATTGAACAAAGCAGCACTTGGCAACGGTCCGTTAATGAAAGACCGGAAAACATTTGGCGTAATGAGAGACAACCGACAACGAGCGGAAATTGGCAGGCTTTGTCTGATAATGACAAATATCGCAAACCAATTAATCAAGATAAACCTTGGGATGGCAGAGAATCTTCATCTCATGGAAATTCATGGAATGTAAAACAATCACTTGGAAGTATGAAAGAACCCTGGCAGACTTCAGACAATAGATGGTCCGGTCCATCCAGATCGGGAAATGGTGGCGAAAATTGGAATCGGGATAGTTTGGGTGGCCGCAACAAGGAACCTTGGATGAATACAAACAAGCCGCGATGGGAACAGTCGCAATCTAATGATTGGAATCAAGGAGACAAAGACGATTGGAATGACCTTCCGGAAGACGCAAGGGACCCTTGGGGGGACGACGGCAATCTTGGATTGAACAGGAACATCGATAATCAGCCTACTTCGTCGACCAATTGGTCCAGAGAAGTTGATAAGGATTCTTGGGGAAAATCCAAAGATAATTGGCAAAACAAGTCGCAGATATTTCCAGCGAAATCGTTATGCCAAAACAGTAATAATCCGAGTATAAACGACTCACGCTGGTTGCCTTTAAACGATATGAATAAAAAGGTATCATCATCGTCTACCAACTGGCAAGGAGGCACTAACGTTGGATCCAACATTGGGACTAACGTTGGATGGCAATCAAATTATGGTTTTCAGACACCGCAGCGATCCTTTGTGCCCAACTTGTTTAAGGATCGACGTTAATTATAAGATATTAGACAAGATATTTTAATGTTACACTCAAAGTAATAATAGTTTAGCATCACTTTTGAGCATTTCGGTTTATAAAGCAAAAGCACATAGATCTTTAATTTAATGGGTATTAAAAATATAATGTAAAACAAATATGCGATGTCAAATAAAGTTACGACTGCAGTATGTGTTAAAATATCTGTCTCTATTATGTGATTTATATTGTGATTTTTGTGCAAACAATAGTGTCTAAAAGTATTTCCATTCTTTCAAATGATTCATAATGAAACAATTTATTAATATGTATTTCAATAAGACAAAACAGACGATACTTATTTTTTTTATGTTTAAATGTTATTAATTACATTATTTGTGCAATGAGAGAAATAAAAGTAGCCTATATATTTACTGAGGAGCATTGTACATACATAATTTTGCACAAATTGCAAATGATATATATGTAGTATATATAATATGAATTGCAGTTGATTTATATGTATGTAATAATAGCTAACTGTATCTCTCATTGAAGCATTTTCTAAAATACATCACAAGCTGACATCTCATATTTCATATCTAAAAATCTGCAAGTTATGAGTTTCTTATTATTAGAGTCCGAACCGAAACTTTTACTGAAACTGAAAACGAACTCATTACATGTCAGTTTCAACTGAAATCATGTAAGGGGCTCCGTACAATAAAAGGAACAGGGAACAGAGAACAGAGAATAAGAATTTCAACCTATATATATAATATATATTGAAATTCTTATTCTCTGTTCTCTGTTCCCTGTTCCTTTTATTGTGCGGAGCCCCTAACTCTTCGTTAATATTAAATTTAATATGTAATTATTGTTTCAATAATTATAACGTTTACGAAGAAAAAACACTTGTATTCTTTAGCCAAAATTGACACAACAAAAATTTGGTTCTCGATTTCAGCTGAAATTTAATTACTGTTTCAATAAATTATGATGTTAATGAAGAAAAAATGCATAATATATGTCATTATATGGGCATGTTTATACATATATGGCCTTTATAGGATTCTTATTGTTTAATTTTGGTTTCGGTTTCGGTTGAGGTTGACGTATAGCCGAGTGTTTCGGTTCAGTTTTGGTAAAAATTTCGATTAGACTCATTATAGTATATTTAAAAATTATACGGATCATGATGTATATTCTTTTAAATAAAAATTGTAACAATTTCGAACAAATTAAATAAAATTCTATAACAGATGTTGTTTATTATAAACTGAACATAAGATAAAAATATACAAAACTGCGCCTTATATTAAATTAAATATTTTACACAATTTTCGAAAACAAGAAATTTATATTGCATCAGATAGTTTTTGTGGATCTAAATATGCATATAATATATGTATATTTAGATGTTTAGAAAATTACTTAACATATTATGTTAATAAATTTGTAATATGTTAAGTAATTTTCTTTTTCTAATATATATGTATCTAAGTTTTACGCACATATACATTTATAACTTCAGGCATAATTAATCGTGCTATTCTGTTACTATAAAAAAACCAGATATCAATGTTTAATTATTGAAACTATTAAAACTCTTCTTGTAACTTCTCTTTAAATATTAGTCTGTGTTTAACAAATATTTAATATTGCAATAGTGGGTATTAAATTTAGTCAAGTTAGTTTAATGCTGCAAATATAAACTTTTGCATAATCGCAGTATTTTTGTTCTACTAAGAGAATTTTATATTATTGCTACTAACACATAAATATTGCACCTACATGGTGACGTCACAATCTATACAACTGTTGTACGATTATAATTGCAATTGTATTCAGTGTACGTTGTATGTACAATCTATGTTTAATAGAAACAACAGTTGTGCATGCTGAGCAGTGAGCGAACATGATTGGATTGGTTTATTGGTTATGATCGCTGGATCCAGCAATTAGCCTCAGTTACAGTGAGAGTTATCGTGTTCAGCTAAACGTATATATGAATGAATATGTTTATATATAACACGGAAATAATAAATTCATAAAATTTCTGGAGATTATCTCGCAGTTTGGAATTCTGTTCGCCGATATAAAACGACAAGAAATGTTCCTATCAAAGGTATCTTGATATAAACATGAAGCCAATGTAAATTGCGATTGAGGTTAATCGTGTTATATTCTGTTAGCTACCACTTCTCAGAAATACTACTTTTGCTGCCATACAACATGAATCAGGATATCCTGGTGTTTTCGTGCGTAAATATCTACGAAACGATATACCCTCCATGAAATTTTTTATGTCAACACAGAATGAGCAGCAACAGGATTCAACGAAAGAACAGGTCTCTCTTTCGATAAACATGGTAAATTTTGTTATTGCTCTATCTTCATTAATTTATTCAAATATAGTGTGTAAATAGAATATTCATTTCTTAGGCTGTACCAGACAAGTTGTATAAAAAAGTTGAAGTTGAAGTCAGGGGAAATGATCCAGCGGTATTAAAGAGCTATGGAGAATTTGCAACGATGGCTGCAGATCATTTGAAGATCAATATAGGTAGAAAGTAAGTTCTAGTTATTTGTTTATTAATGTTCTAGTTAGATCCGATTGTACCAATGTTACTTTGACTTTAAATAAGGCTTAAAACTCTCTCTCTCTCTCTCTCTCTCTCTCTCTCTCTCTCTCTCTCTCTCTCTCGACTGTAAAAAAAGAAAATAAGAATTGGTGCAAAAGTTCAGCCAAAAAGAACAGCCTTTACAACAGAAAGTAATATTGATGCAATTAGGTCTTATTCGGTTATTTAACATTTAGCGACAATTGGATCATATTGAGACCCTGTGTTGAAGTACCATATGGAGTGATAAAAAGCATTTACATAAGTCCTCCACCCAGAGGAAACATCACAAAAAATAGTTGATTGGAAAATATATTAAAATGATTTTTTTTGTTTACAGTACAGCACCACGTAAAGCTATCCACGAACGCTGGACAGTACTAAAATCTGCTCATGTTCATAAAAAGCACCGGGTTCAGTATGAAATTAGGACTTACTATCGCTATCTAGACTTTTTAAAATTGACTGGATCGACAGCAGATACTTTTCTAGAATATCTTCAAAGAAATTTGCCAGAAGGAGTGGCAATGAAAGTGACTAAGGTCAGAGTTTTATATGGTCTATTCAACTATACTTCTATTACTTTGTAATGTTCATCTTTCCTCGTTTTTCTCTATATAGAAACAAGAAAACGAGGAAATAATGATGCAAGAAGTTTAGCTGAAACGAACGGACCTATAATATAAAATAGATTTAAATTCATTTGCATCTTATCTAAGAACTTTGCTTGCAGGTTGAGATGGAGAAGTTGCCTGAGAGTATAGCTGCAATGGATAATATGTAACTATATAATGTGTAATTATGAATAATTGTTTATATGATCCAGGTTGTAGATAGTTTATCAATATAAACTACAAAAAAATACATTTCAAGTTTATTTATTTAACTTTATACTTATTTTAATTTTTGAAAATTTAATTATACGATAAAAATAATCTTATTTTAAAAGGCCGCAGTTATAAAAAATTAATATTTATTAATATTAATATTTGTAGAAAGATAAGATTGGTAAATTATCCCAAAAAAATGATATGCTTTTCTTTAGTATTATTACAAGTAATTATGTATTACGTAGTTATACTAATTTGCAATAAAATTAAAATCTGCGGCAGTATAAATTGAATGTCATTGGAAAAATATTAAGTGAGAGATTTGATAATTATTACATGTGGCGACGAATCGATGTTTCTGCCCGATATATTGCGCGAGAGTTCCGGTAATGGGTTCTTCTTTTTGAAGGCTGATGGTCTGTCTCGTGATACGTCGATGTTTACGGTTTTAAGGGGTGTATCTGCTAAATGTTTGCCTGCGTTTCGACGTGCGTGCCCACTACCGCGTCTTCTCATATGAGTCATACGTCGAAAAACACCGTTCGAAATTTGCTTGGAAGTTTCGGATTGAATAGCGTCAATCAGAGAACCTTTTTGTTGCGTTTGCGATTGTGCCAGGTTTCCTTCGGCTCTGCGTAAACTGGCTCCAACATCCTCATTCCTATGCTTTCTAATTAATTCCGCAGTAGCTGTACATCTGTGCAATATATATTCATTACCTGAAATAAAATTTTCATAATATATACGATACTTACTTATCTATTCTTGTATAATTTTATATAAAGCTGGTTGCGCCAACGGCATGTGTCGACAATACGCATTCTTAATCAAGTTTTTCAATTATTCAACTAGATGCATTGTGAGATGGAAAAATTTATATGCTGTGGATAGTAACAACTGTTTTTATTTAAAATATTTAAACATGCATTAATTGAATGACATCTTTGCTAAATATACATATACATTGTGTATGTATTTTTGTTGAAGTTTATGTTTAGGTAATAAATCGATGTTACATATGCACACACTAAGAAATATATTTGAAAAGTGTGTTTTAAAAAGAATTTAAAATATTTTGATCGTTTGTCTTTTATGAAATCCTTTAAATATTTTTTTTTATTTTTGCGTTTTGAATATAAATAATTCTGACATACTATAGTAAAAGATAAATATCTATTAATTTAGAATATATTTAAACTTTATATAGCCCAAAACAATTGATATCGTTCTTACTAGAGATTACTCTAATTAATTCTTTACCGTAGATGAGTTTTTACTCATGCATTTTTTGAGATTAATATAGTTTTATATTAAAAATAACATTTAATAAGATTGTTTAACATTAAAATTCATCTGTTAAAATAGTATTAATTTAGTTATTCCAACATCTTTTGCAACTTATAAAGGAGATATAAAAAGTTAAAAAATTCTTAATTATGTGGGTCAATTTTCACCCAAAATTGTATTAATATTAGAAAAATGTGAATAGATTCCACAGTTAAGATTACATAGCATATAATTTGTAATGATAAAAATTATATTATAAAATCACTTACTTGATCGCCTTGAACGAGGATAATAAACCGCCAGAGAATCAGTGGCCCAAACGAAGATGATTAAAATAACAGTCACTTTTTTCAAAGTCATTATCTATCACGAGGGTCTTTGCAAGTGACTACTGACTTACTGACTTAAGTTAAAATAAAGTACTAAGTTTATACACATTTAACAAAATTTATTGCAAGTTAGAACAGTTTGAATGGTCTGCCAATCGTGGGAGAGGAAATCGTGGTAGCTACCGCGGGAGCTATCGATCGACTGTTCACAAGGAAAAAGTTTCGCCGCGTAGAAGAGGCCGCAAAAACAAAACCGGACAAGACGTCAAAGCCGAACTGAGGTCGTTCGACTTTGTCGAGATTTTATGCCACAGTAAGGTAGCACACGTGCGCACCGTAGAACGTTAAAATTAATCGGATCCGGCCAGAGCATCAGTCGTGATACCACGAAGCAGACAGAAGAAACCGCATGATGACCCTTTTTTCTTGTTTCCAACATTAACCGTGGTAAACCGGTTTGAATGATGGACCAGGTCGAAAGTCGACATTGTGCTTTAATTAATTCTTTTTTTTTCATCTAATTTCTTTATACATTGTTTAAAAAGGTACTATCAATCTCAGATAGACCTTTGCTATGCAATCTTGCAAACAAATTTTTTTTCGAACTTTCGAAACTTCGTGATGTAAAAAAAGTGAAATTGACAAATAAAATCGAACCTGCTACAGGGATGACCTTGACAATCGTCACTTGTCATAATATATCATGTCTGGTACCGTATTTTTAGCTGTGAGCTATGCACGTTGCTACTTTTCATGTAATGATGTAATATTTCTTTGGAATATAAATAAGTACTTGATTATTCTTTGATTATATAATTTTGTATCTATTTGATTACAATAGAAAATATATAGAATAGAGAAGTAGCTATTATATTAGAAAAAAAAGCAAAGCGATATAACGCATAGAGCAAAATTTAATCGAAGCGAATACGATTAATGGTACCATCTATTCTATAGAAAATGTTATGCCCTTGGTAAACTTCGCACTGGTTTAAGACATTTTCATGTTCATGTCGTGATCGGCAGGAATATTATCAGAGGATAACCATCCGAGCGGTTAATGGAGGCATCATTAAAGGTAAAAACCAGCTCTGGGCGACCCTGAATTTCTTTTCAATTTTGCGGGAGCATCGTTCACCCTTTTATAGAAACAGAAGTGGTCCAATTACAGGACTCTAATTGCGTTACGCAGGTAAAAAGGCCTTTATAAGTCTTGGTGGAGATTCCAAGTGCAATAACATTGCAGGCAACGTTGTAATCTTCTGCCATTATTGAATCAGAAGGTAACCGATTTGCCTATTTTTGCTGATAGCTGATTTCTTTATGTTCGCAATACTGAATGCCTACGTAGGATATAATTGTCGCGCGATAAAAGAGATCCGGTCTACCACTACAAATAACATATAAATAATAAAAAAGAAAATAGTGAATATGATAAGAAATGAAGAATTATGCATTTATCAACGTTGATTCAAAAAGCCCACACTTTGACGTAATCTATTACAAAAGCAGTCTTATTGCCACTGTCTCGTTTCCAGCTTGGTAGCCACTGGTTTCGAGAGTTCCAGAAATTCAACATTGCCTAGAATCAAAACGATATTTCATGTAATTATTTAAAAAACGGATGCTTATTTTTTAAAAGAGTACTTTAAGAATGAAAATTTAAGCATCAACATATTAAATTAGCTATAAATTGATTAATTAAATAATATTAAATGATTAAATTAAATTAAATAATATAAAAAAATATTAAAGTGTACCTTAGCGTCTATAATATATATATATATATATGTACACACAATTATTTAATTAATTTGCACTATACAGGGTGTCCCGAATTGAAATGTTTAATCTTCGGGAGCGTGTAGAAGATCGATAAACTAAGAAAAAAAGTCCAGTAGAAATATGCTCGTTTTTGCTTTGTTTTGGAGAAAATCGCAAAAAAGACAAAACATAGTTTTTATTATTGTACTTTCTCATTACTTATTCACATTGTATTTATTCACTTGCCTAATGTAGATATTGTTCAAATATTGGCCTCTTGCAGCAATGCAAGCATTGCATCTAGTACGGCGACGAATAAATTTCCTGCTTTAGGACCCCCTACACAAAGAAGTGCAGTGGTGTCAAATCAGATGATCGGAGTGGCCAAAGTACTCCTCCCCACGTGATTTTTTTAATTATTTAGAAGTCATCCACCTGCAGCACCGGATTGAAATGTGGTTTCAACTCGATGGATGTCCAACTTATTATGGCAGAACTACTCGAGCTTGGCTAGACAGACATTATTCACGACGATGGATAGGTAGTGGTACTACTCCTCCACGTTCTAAAGCAGGAAGTTTATTCGTCGCTAGTTAACTCAAGAGAACAATTGAGAAATCGAATCGAGGCTGCAGTGCACCAAATATCGCCAGATCAGTGTTTGGCTGCAACACGAGCTGTCCGTACTAGATGCCAATGCTTGCATTGCTGCAAGAGGCCAACATTTTGAACAGTATATTTACATTAAGTAAGTGAATAACTACAACGTGAATAAGTAATGAGAAAATACAAAAATGAAAACTACGTTTTGCCTTTTTTGCGATTTTTTTCGAAAACGAAGCAAAAACGAGTATATCTTTATAGGACTTTTTTTTTAGTTTATCGATCCTCTACAGTACTCTACACGTCCCCGAAGTTTAGATATTTAAATTTGGTACACCCTGTATAAGGTAAACGGATGTGATACAAATAAAATGTCCTCATAAATTTATAATGCTTGCTAAACTACAAAGAATATAAAACCATTTTATAGCAATAGAACTATAGTGTAATAGAATAATAGAACTAAATGATACCTCTTGATCGAACGGGGCAGCTTTTCTGTCTGCGTGAGGACCACTCATCCATCCATCTTCATTAGGGCTTATTCGGCCAACCTCTTCACCGTCGACCAAAAACGTGAAACCATCACTGGTCCAGATCGTCGTGTACACATGGAAATTCTTCGTCCACCGTGGTCCGAATTCGTTTACTTTTGTGACGAGTATTTCTTGGATCTCATTATGAGATGGGCTTACTCTCACGCCAAAATCCAATCGTCTAGTATCATAGATTTTCGAAACGTCCGTGACATTCACCAAATTCTCATTGCCGCGTGTTAAACCCAGAAGAACACGGCCGCTGGCGTAGTTCATACCATAAGTAGAATAACGTGGCTCAAGCCACATTTCTGATAAAATTATTAGGAGATATATTTTATGTATTTTAAAGTTTTGTTTTACAATTTGTTTCCACTTAAATGTTGCAATAAAAACTATATATATATATATATA